CCTTGATCGACGTAGTCAAACTATACCCTTCCTAGTTTGTTTACCTGAAATCACCAGTGCAAACCCACAAGAGAAGCAGCAGTAACACATTGGCATCTACCACTCTTAAGTTCAATTTAAAAGAAATGTAGCTTATTCAAGTCATGGATTCTCATCTCCAAGCTGCTGTGAGTTGCCACAAAAGATTTCTCATCACTACCTTCTTTTTTCTTCTTCTAGTGAGGCAAAGTGAACTTCAGTTCTTAGTAAACAAGATCTCGTTATTATAATTACTTTATAGCCAAATTGACTAAGGTAGGAGAAAATGACTCACCCCCGGGGACCTGTCAGGTCAAGGCCAATCCTGAGAAATGGCAGGTCTTCTCTCTTTCTAAAAGCTTTTTGTCTTTACGAAGAGAGGTAGAGGCAAGTGGAGTGGCTCTGTGTCTGGATCCAGGGTAGGTTTCTGAATATTTCCATAATTATCTTTGTATTACCATAGCTTTTACAAGTTGGCCAGAAAAACTCTATTCCAGACTCTGGCTTGACAATTCAAGTTACGTGAATTTTTGAATTTTTTCCTCCTTTAAGCATCTTGTGTCAGTATCCAGCGTTGATATTCCCTCACTCAATAGTCATACTTTAAAAAACAAAACAAAATAAATAATCATGAAAACTATTCATTTAAAAGAGAAACTAATTTGTGAGAAGAAATCAGAAGCAAAGAATTATATTCCCAGTCCCCTCACTCAATAACTGTGTTTTCAAATAGAACTAGGGACAATGCTCAATGCTCAACAGCTCAATTTTCCCAAGCATAACCAAGGATAGTAAAATTTTTTTTTTAAAGCAAGATGCTCCAGAGTGAAACTGCATTTCTGCCACTCACACAACCGGCCTATAAACGGGGCTAATTCTGGTGGAGGTCCATCCTGCCTTCCTTGGAAAACTGATCTCTCAGAGGCTCTTGCCTTTTCCACATTGCAGAAGCTCTGCCGGTGACCACATACTAAGGTGTAGACACTTCCGCCAAGGGCCATGTGTACTGCCGTGGGCAACAGGTGGGCAGCTCTGCTATCTAGAAATTCCTCCTGTTCTTGGATGGGAAACTGCCTCTCTTATCTCCCACCTAATGCCATCATTTTACCCTTGGTAAAGAGGTGGATCCCTCTTCCATATCCCTACACACTTTCCTATTGCTCCCTTGAGAGACAGCTTCTCCTGAGGGTGGCGTAGGCCTTAGGGTTGGTGCACTCTGCCTACCAGGAACAGGACTGAGAAGGGAAGGCGGGGCAGCTGCCCCCCAAAGTAATTCTTCTTTGGCACTTCAAAAGTGTGTGTCTTTTCAAACCTCCTCACTTGAAACCTCCATGTGGTAAGTGGTCAAACACCCTGCACAGGTGTGCAGTGACTTCATGCATACAATGAAGAGGCTTCATAAGCCACATTGGCTCTTAACCCAAAGGACACCATGGACAGAAAGCCACAGACTCCAGGTCTTCCTCGGGGTTACTTGTCAACACGTGAGCACTTGAGTTCATAGCTTTCTTTTCCAAGGCACTCTGGCCATGAAAGTTAAAGGGTCTATGTATGTAGTGAATTTTAATTAGAGAC